CATTGACTCAAAACACATCGATCAATAAAATGCCTAGAAAGTCACTAGTTTGTACATCAGAGTTGAATTTACCGGTATACTACCATGAGGTATTCTTCATTTTTCTTACCTTATAATAGCCGAATCACCTCCTCAAATAGTCATATCTGCGTCCTGATCCCTACAGTACTGATAGAACAATCATTTTTGAGTGTTTTTTAATATTTATTTCCATGAGTTTTTTTTGGTATCATCGTATCTATTCGTGAAAAGAACACTTTATAGGACTACAAATCTGTATAAGCTTTTCACATTCATTAATTGGGAATTTAATCTACGTCCTATGTCATATTCACTATGTTAATTCGCATAACTGTGTGAAATATATCCTATAAACAGTAGGAAAAATATAAGTAAATCTATGATAAATTAGAATGCACAACAATTATTAAAGGAGGTGTGCCATATTACGGACTGATCATCCCAAACAAAATAAGCCCAATTTTATTGGCCCAATAATCAGCATTGAACCCTGAGTATTTTTCACAAGTATATTTTGTATTTTATCACAACTCAATTTTTAGACCCCTGGGGTCCCCCTCAGGTTTCGAAAAATATTTTTTTGTACCGTTCCATCAGAAGTCTTTCCAGTTCGATAGCGATACGTGTGCTGGTTATGAATATCATATTATGTTTCAAAAGTATTCAGATAATAAGAAAGATCTGAAGTACTCCCTGGAAGCTGTAAAAACTAGTTTTTGACCTGAAAGTTCATCAAAGGCCAAAGTAAGCTAGTTGTAAATAAGCTCATTTGATAGAGAGTTTCATTTTCTATCAGAATCTATGAGAACACCTTAGATATTCGAACTTTTTTCTATTGAAAAATGCCAAACACAATCCAGATTGGATAACGTTCGTATAAATAATGATTTTTCGAGTCTTTCGGACTTATAGTTTTTCCTGGTGCATCAGGTTGATGTTTTCACTGGATATGCAATTTAATGTGTTCTTTCTGATGACATCATTTTCAGCATGAAATTCGATGTCTTAAGAATAGCTTTTGCTTTCACTAGTATGCTTGACAGCCAATTTGCTTCTTTTTTGACTAGCATTTGACGGTTTTCGAGCAATAAGTACTTTGTTTGACTTTAAAAAAATGTTATATTTGAAATCAGCACTAAAACCTGAGCAGATTCAAATACATTATAAGCTGTTTCTACGATTTATATTTTTCCATCAGTTTTTGCCCTGGTCCGCTTCAGGAATGGGCGAAAAAATGAACTTCATGAAAACAACTATTTAATTTCCTAGAAATCTCTGATTCTCTCTAAAAATAGCATTTTACAAGTCCGGAATTGCTTTTCTATTACCGAAACCGTTTTTTCATGAAGTTCATTTTTCGTTCACCTCTGGGGGGAACAGGAGCCAAAAATTGACGGAAAAATAAAACTTGTAGAAGCAGCTTGAAATGTATATGAATCGACTCATTTTTGTGCTGATTTCAAATATGACAATTTTTAAAAATCAAAAGAAGTACCTTCTGCTCGAAAACCATGAAATACTAGTCAAATTGGCCGTCAATCGTAGCTATGGAAGCAAAAGTGCTTCTTAAGACATCGAATTTCAAGTTGAAAATGATGTCATCAGAAAGAGCACGTTGAATTGTATATCCAGTGGAAAAATCAAGCTGTTGTACTGGGAAAAACTATAACTTCGAAAGACTGGGAAAATCATTATTTATGCGAACGTTATCCAATCTGGGCTGTGTTTGGCATTTTTCAATAGAAAAAAGTTCGAATGTCTTAGGTGTTCTTATAAATTCTGATAGAAAATGAAAATCTCTATCAAATGAGCTTATTTACAACTAGCTTACTTTGGACTTTGATGAACTTTCAGGTCAAAAACTGTTTTTTACAGCTTCCAGAGAGTACTTCAGATCTCTCTTATTATCCGAGTACTTTTGAAAAATAGTATGATATTCATAACCAGCACACATAGCGCGATCGAACTAGAAAGACTTCTGATGGAACGGCCAAAAAGAAATATTTTTCAAAACCTGAGGGGTACCCAGGGGTCAAAAAATTGAGTTGTGATAAAACACAAAATAAACTTGTGAAAAATACTCAGGGTTCAATGCTGATTATCGGGCTAATAAAATTAGGCTTATCTGGTTTGGGATGATCAGCCCATAACTTGGCACACCTCCTGTCCACCATTTCTGTTGTTGTTACAGCTCCGACATGCAGCAAATGGTATTGATGTGGGCATGAGTGTTCGTTGAAGGTATCGGGGCGTTAGTGTTTCTTCCAGCACACCACATATTCAAATCCATAACAACACCCAATGTTTAAAGAAACTTGTGCTGTGTTTTGTATTTTGGGTACCAGCATGAATATAGTCACCGCTAATATTACTTGTGCTTAATGACAGGAGTACTCTTTCGAACTTGAATCATCCAAAAAGCATTTCTTGAGGATTCTGTCGCTATTTTAAATGCGAATGAATTGTTCCGCAGAATGTTAGAGTTCTGATTTGTGATTGATTGTAGGCATAACAATTACAACAACAAAAACAGCCACTGCTTGTGCAACAACAAAAAAACCAACAACAACAACAAAAAAACCAACAACAACAACAACAACAACAACAACAACAACAACAACAACAACAACAACTACTACTACTACTACGACAACAGAAACAACAACTACTACTACGACAACAGAAACAACAACTACAACTACAACAACAGAAACAACAACTACAACAACAGAAACAACAACTACAACAACAGAAACAACAACTACAACAACAGAAACAACAACTACAACAACAGAAACAACAACTACAACAACAGAAACAACTACCAGTAAGTAATAGGTTAAATAGTCAAATAAAGCGCATGTTTCTAATAAGAACAGCTTTTCAAACAGCCTCAGAGTTTTCTTTTTTTCTAAAGTATCTATATATAAACATAAGGCTTTTTTTATATTTTTTGAGTAGAGAAATGTCTACTGAATCGGATGATGTAAAAATCATTCAATTATCTTCAAAATTGCTGAGCAATTAGCGGTAGTTTGTGAGTGATTGAATTTGTCTGAATTAAGAGCACTGTGCCTAATAAGAACAACAAGGCAAAAAATGTTCCTCATCAATCGTGGAATAAATATTCCAAGGTTCAGATTTTTTCGTTTTATACTAACTGAGATATTAATTTTTAAAAAATAACTCGCCTGTCCTTTTTAGGAACACTGTTTTTAATTCGAACAGTCTATGTAAATTACATAGGAAAAAAAGTTTTTAGTAAATGAATTTTTTTTAGTCTAAACGTGAAAATTATAAATTGCTTCCATGACAAAAATGTTCCCTGATAAATCTACATTAAGTTCTAGCGGTTCAAGACAAATGAACCCCTTTTTTCATTTCTGTGATATCGATCAAAAATCATAAAAATATCACTCAATTATACGTATTATAACTCAATCAATATTTCAAATGAATATAAAGTATAGTATTGCCCTTGTTACACTGTATACTTTTCTGTAATCAAGTAAAATC